AGAGAAGAGAGAGAGGAGAGCTTTTCAAGAGCAAGGAGCCTTAGGACTCATCTTGGAGCTTGAGAAGAGGTAAACCTCTTGTTACTAACTCTTCTTCTTCCTCTCTAACTTGTTTTGGGTATGTTGGATTTATTTTCAAAACATGAGAAACCATGGAAACTCAATCTTTAGAGTTATGGTTCGTTTTATGTTGTTTTTATCTTGTAAACTCTTGGTTTAGAGATAGTATCTCAAGAATGGAAAGGGTTGTGGGTTGATTCATGAAAACCCCAAAAACCCTAAAAGTGAAAATGTGGTAAAAGGAGAGAATGAGTAAAATGCTAGAGGTAGAAGATGAGTTTACCCCCAAATATTGAAATATGAGATGTTATGCATGTTTTAGATGGTTGAATATGGATGATGAATATTTTGTATGATTAAATGATGCAATATAAGTTGTTTATGTGATATTTGGAATAAATGACTAACATTGTGTTATGTGGTGGGATGAGGAAAGATCCTAAGGTTGGAGGTGGTGTCGGTAGAACTCGAGAAGTTGCCAAGAACCGAACCCCAATACTCACCAAGGTAAGGATAAGTCTTTAATGTTGCATTTGAAATAGAAAATGTGTATTTTCTGGTTATGCAAAGACTAAGTTGTAAATTACGCATTTAGTATGAACATATATGGGTGTGTTTATACTAAAGTAGGTGTAGATTTACGGAAAAGGAAAATGTGGGTATTTTCTGGTTATGAAATGATCGAGTTGTGAATTACGCAATTAGTATGAACATATATGAGTGTGTTTATACTAAAGTAGGCGTAGATTTACGGAAAAGGAAAATGTGGGTATTTTCTGGTTATGAAATGATCGAGTTGTGAATTAAGCATTTAGTATGAACATATATGGGTGTGTTTATACTAAAGTAGGCGTAGATTTACGGAAGATGGAAAAGGTGTGTGTTTCCTGGCCATGCAATAATTATATTGTAAATCACGTATTTAGTATAAACAGATATGGAGTGTTTATACTAAAGATGACGTGGATTTACGGGAAATGATTGATGGCAAATCGATGGAAGGAAAAAAATATATTTTTAGCCGACCAGAAATGGTTAGCGACTTCGGCCCGAGTTTATGAGGCAACACTTCGGCCCGAGTTTATGAGGCAACACTTCGGCCCGAGTTTATGAGGCAACACTTCGGCCCGAGTTTATTAGGCAACACTTCGGCCCGAGTTTATGAGGCAACACTTCGGCCCGAGTTTATGAGGCAACACTTCGGCCCGAGTTTACGCGGCATGTTTTCTTTATAAAAGAGATGAAAATTTGTTTTTAGCTAACCCTAAGGGGTGTAGCGACTTCGGCTCGAGTTTATGTAGCAACACTTCGGCCCGAGTTTACGCGGCATGTTTTCTTTATAAAAGAGATGAGAATTTGTTTTTAGCTAACCCTAAGGGGTGTAGCGACTTCGGCTCGAGTATATGTAGCAACACTTCAGCCCGAGTTTACGCGGCATGTTTTCTTTATAAAAGAGATGAGAATTTGTTTTTAGCTAACCCTAAGGGGTGTAGCGACTTCGGCTCGAGTTTATGTAGCAACACTTCGGCCCGAGTTTACGCGTCATGTTTTCTTTATAAAGGAGATGAGAATTTGTTTTTAGCTAACCCTAAGGGGTGTAGCGACTTCGGCTCGAGTTTATGTAGCAACACTTCGGCCCGAGTTCATGAGGCGTGTTTTATTGGTAAAAGGGATGAGAATATGCATTTAGCTAACCCTGAGGGGTGTAGTGACTTTGGCTCAAGTAATGCACCAAGACAAAATGAATTTCGGAAATGGTTTACTAACCCTTTTTCTAATGTGGATTATCTTATAATGACGTTTATTGAATTAACGACTTACTCCTTTGTGTGTTTTGTACTTTTGTCATTGATAATCCCATTGCAGGTAAATAGATGAATGAAGTAGGCTAGGTCGGGAGCTTTAGGAGCTTTAGACTTCGGATTCACTATTTATGTTTTTGTATCTTAAATGACTACTTGCGTATTTAAATGATTGTAATCATAGCTAACCATTAGTCGGATATTTGTAACTGGGTGTATGGTTATTTCGGAGAACTATACTTATGGGGTCTCATTATCCGTGAGACATTACGAATATGAATTATGTTTTTCTGTCAAATCAAGTGTAGGTGATTATGGAATTTGAAAGTATGATAGTAAGTGTAGGAAAATGCATGCAAAATGATTAAAATGAATGAAAAATTTTCAAGGGTAGAAAATCGGGTCGTTACATTTAAAGAGATATTCTGAACTCGGGAGTCGATTACAGATCGGGGAATGTATTAGCACCCTATCCGCTCGTATTAGGATTTCTTGTTAGTTTTCTTTCATAGAAATTCAAAGGAAATGGAGTTAGCAAATGATGTGCAAAAATATAGTTTTGTATCATCGTTTGGAACCAAAAGCATATAATATTTTGATGAATGGCTAATGCTCCTAAATGCTTGGACTATGGTGTAATTTATTTTACTCTTGTATATTCTTCTTCATTTACACAATTATTACTTTGGTTATATTTGTAAGAAACCAATTTTTCACCCTAGAAATTTTCGTTTATTTTCATTTATTTGTACATAGTTTCTCAAATATGCCATATATCGAAATTTCTATAAACTTTAACTCATCTACTTCTTTCGTCACATGAGTACCCTGAACATACATTTTCAGTTTCATACATCTACTACCTTCATTAGCAGAAAATCATAATACGCATTCATATCATAAATAAGTGTCATAATTAAAATTAATGTCAACAATTAGTCAATTAGTGCATGAAGAATTGAAGTTATAAAATCTATGTCACTAAGGTTCCTAAAGCTCCTAATCAATGCATCCATAAACCGTCTGTTTACATGCAATGGGATTATCATAGGAAAATACACAGAAAACACAAAAGAGTAAGACATTAACTCAAAAAATATCAATATACGATAATCCACATTTTAATAAGGTTATGTAATTAATTAAATCGTCACACATAAAGTAAATACATATAAAGAGTCTTCATTACCATTTTCACAACTATACCTTTTCCATAATCCACATATATATAACAATGCTACATAACTTGAGCCAAAATATACTACATAACTTGAGCCAAAGTGTGCTACATAACTTGAGCCGAAGTATGCTACATAACTTGAGCCAAATTGTGCTACATAACTTGAGCCAAAGTTTTGCTACATAACTTGAGCCAAAGTGTGCTACATAACTTGAAAGTGTGCTACATAACTTAAGCCAAAGTTTTGCTACATAACTTGAGCCAAAGTGTGCTACACCACTTAGGGGAGCCAAAAATAGGTTTTTCATTTCTTTTATTTATCATCCATAAATATCCAGAAAATTCCACACTATTCATTACAAAATATACAAGTATAATGTTCCTTACCTTGGTGAGTGTTGGGATTGGTTTTTGGTAACTTTGCAAGTTCATCTGTCACCTCCTCCAACCTTATGATCTTTCCTCATTCCCACCACACAATAACAATAATTAGTCATTTATTCACAATATCACATAAACAACTTACACTATATATTCAACCATAAAAGAGGTTCATATTTTCAATAATTTTCTAAATCATCTCCCTTAGGAATTTCAAGCATGTAAAAAATACATATTCACTTTTACTCAACATTAAAACTCATAGTCACACGTGCTATAGAATATATATTATGGGATATATATACTATAGGGTGAATATGAATAATTGGAAGAGTATGTTGAAATGAAAGTAATATGCATGCTATAGAATATATATTATGAGATATATATACTATAGGATGAATATGAATAATTGGAAGAGTATGTTGAAAAGGAAGTAATATGCATGCTATAGAATATATATTATGGGATATATATACTATAGGGTGAATATGAAGAGTAGGGAAATGTAAGAGAAAAGATACAAATGTTTATATTTATGTAATTGTGATTATGATGTATCTTAATGCTTAATCATAGTTCAAAATATGGATTATCATGTAATGTTATTATTGAACCAATGACTTACTCCCTTGTTTTGTGTGTTGTTTATGATAATCTCATTGTAGGTAAATGGAAGATTTGAGGATGCTCATGTAAGGACCCAAATTCTACCCTTGAAATTTTTTCCTTATATTAATCCAATTTCATGCATTTAACTATAAGTTATAATTACCGAGTGAACAAACTTACTTAAAAGATCTCACTCCTCTCATCACACCCAACTTCATATACCAAAAATGACAAAAAAGCATAATTCGTATTACTATAACTTAGTAACTTCCGCATACAATTAGCTATGGGTTTCCAAAACACTCATAGCTACATATATCCCGAGTTACTAACTTCCATGGGTAATACCAGGTACAATATTCATGTTCATGGTTACAAATATCTAGTTCATGTACAACCAATGATGTTACACAAAATGAATAAGAGACATCAAAATAAAAGTCTCTAAGCTCCTAATCAAAAACACCCATACTCCTTCCAACTTCCTGCAATGGGATTAACATTGACAATACACCAAGAAACACAAAGGAGTAAGTCGTTAACTCAATAAATATCAATGTAAGTTAATCCACATTTCATAATATTAAATAACGATTTAAAATCAAAGGTACTCAAAACCATTTTTTCATCGTTCATATTTTGAAAACCATGCTACATAACTTGAGTCAAAGTTTGCTACATTGCTTGAGTCAAAGTTTGCTACATTGCTTGAGCCAAAACTTGCTACATTGCTTGAGCCAAAGCTTGCTACATTGCTTGAGCCAAAGCTTGCTACATTACTTGAGCCAAAGTCGCTAACCCATCATGGTCGGCTAAAACGAGTTTTATTTCCATTGGCACTCCACCAATACATAAACGGTAAATCCACTCCTTGTTGTTACAAACATACCCATATATGTTCATAATAATTAAGTGACTTACTATTCATTTTATTATTCCGAGTTTTATTTCCATTGCCACTCCACCAATACATAAACGGTAAATCCACTCCTTGTTGTTACAAACATACCCATATATGCTTATAACAACTAAGTGATTTACGGTACATTTTATTATCCACATCAGGAAATCCACATATTTTCCATCACAGTGCATAAGTTAAAGACTTATCCTTACCTCGGTGAGTGTTAGGTTTGGGTTCTTGGCAACTTCTCAAGTTCCACCCACACCGCCTCCAATCTTAGGATCTATCCTCATCCCACCATATAACACAATGTTAGTCATTTATTCCAAATATCATATAAACAACTTATATTGCATTATTCAACCATACAAGATATTCATCATATTTTCAATGTTGCTAAACTACTTTCATCATACGTTTACAACTATCCAAAACATACATAATCATCTCATAATTCAACATTAGAAAGTAAACTCATCTTCTACCTTTAGCATTTTACTCGTTTTCCATTTTAACCACATTTTCTCTTTAGGGTTTTGGGGTTTTCATGACTCAACCCACAAACCCTCTCCTTTCTTGAAAACTAACTCCATACCAAGAGTTTACAAGGTAAAACATCACAAAATGAACCATAACTCAACTAAGTGAGTTTCCATGGTTTCTCCTACTTTGAGAAGAGATCCAATATACCAATAATGGGTTTCAAAGAGAAGAAGAGAGTCAGAATCAAGAGTTTTACCTCTTCTCAAGCTCTTGGATGAGTATTGAAGCTTCTTGCCCTTGGAAAAGCTCTCTTCTCTCACCTCTCTTCTTTTCTTAACCCTAAAATGTGTTTGGGGGTTTCTCATTTAATGCAACTCTTCGGGTTCTCGCTTAAGCGAGCTCATTCTCGCTCAAGCGAGAAAATCCCACCCATTTTAAAAACTCAGATCTGACCCTCTCGCTCAAGCGAGGGATTCTCGCTGAAGCGAGAATCTCACAGTCTCAACAGCCCTAAAAATGCCATTTCTCGCCCAGGCGAGACAATTCTCGCTCAGGCGAGAATCCTTCAGTATAGCCCAGGATTTCACCCTCCCAGGTGATCCTTCCTCGTCCAGGCGAGAATCTCTCGCTCAAGCGAGAATCCTAAGACTGATACTATAATTTTAAAGACTTAAATTTAGGGTGTTACAGCTCGCTTAGGAATTTTATGCGCTCCTTAACTTAGAATCTCCCAATTTACATTTTTGTATTATAGCTGACTACATGCTATTCTTGGATAAATGTAATTCTGAGGTTGTAACGCTGGATATGTGTAGTTATGGACATTTTGGAAATCCATAACTAGTAGTATTCGGTAGTTACTAATGATTAATTGAATGAATTATGTTTTCCGGCATTTTTCGTTTTGAGGTATGAACAATGCATGTTAGCATGAACATGAAATAGAAATATCGGTTAAAGGAAAGCCTTGAGACTTTCATTTATAAGATTTATTTCATATGAAAGGGGGAGATATATGTATGACGGTTTTAAAATAAAAATAAAATTTTCAAGGGTAGAATTTGGGTCCTTACAGGGGTTCTATTTTAGGGTTCAGACTTTTAGATTCTCTCTCAAGCGAGAACACGTCGCTCAAGCGAGAACACGTCGCTCAAGCGAGAATCCCCCGCCTTATAAAATTTCAAATTAAAATTTCAAGCGAGAATCCGTCGCTCAAGTGAGGGAGCCGCGCTCAGGTGTGAACCCGCAAGCCTTCACAGTCTCTCTCTTGCTTAAGCGAGCCAACTCTCACTCAAGCGAGAATCCACCAGCCTCTACATAATTCCTCTCGCTTAGGCGAGCTAACTCTCGCTTAGGCGAGAATCCTAGAGAAATCCTGGGAGCAACCCTGAACCCCTCTCGCTCAAGCGAGAAACGTCCAGCAACTCCCAGACTTACTGAATTTTTACTATGCTTAAGAAGAGGGAAATTAGGGTGTTACAATATTGATTCTTTAAGAAGTTCTTAATGTGGTTTTAGTTTTATCACCTAAAACTTGATTTAAAGATCTAAAATGCTTCTTTTTAAAGTGTTGACAAGTGAACTAAAAAGTAGAATATACACCTTATTTCACTTTCCATACTAAGCATCAATTTTAAGAAACTTATATTAAAGTCTAATAAATTTAAATGGAGACTGAAATAGGGTGTCACAACCTACTCTGACGAGTGGCAGCTAACATGGCGTGTGGTTTAACCAAGGTATAACACATAACTTGCATAAAGTTTTCAAGTTGATATTGTTCAAGAAAATTTTCCGTCATTCTAACCATATTTTTCTCTTGAATTTATAAATATTTAGTTTCTATACTTTTTCATATTTATAAATTTTATTCAATCACAAAACAACTATTTGTTACTTTTAGCTATTGATAAAAGATACAAAGTTTGATTACATTTATGTTAGGCAATTTTATGTGGTTCGACGTAACCCTATAGTATACTACAGTTGAATCTTGAAAATGATTTAAAAAGAGTTACTTATAAATTTTATTTGTTGAAATTGAAGTACAATCCAGTCCATGTGTTGTAACTTTGAAAAATGAGTAACATACATAAGTGCAATTCAATTCATAAATTGTTACTATGTATGTAAGGACCCGAATTCTACCCTTGAAAATTTTTCATTTATTTTAATCCTCCCTTACATACATTCATCATCTTACTTAAAATCCTCATGAATCATTCCTTGAAACTACCCTTTTAACCTATTATATTATCATACAATTCATATTGCAGAAAAACATAATTCATTCAATTAGTAATTACCGCATACAACCAGTTATGGGTTTCCAATAGTCATAATGTCCATAACCACATATCTCCAGTATTACCCTAATCAGAATTACATTCATCCCAAAATATTATCTAGTCAACTACAATGTCAAAGTAAAGATAAAGACATTCAAGTTAATAAACACATAAGATTCCTAAGTGAGCTTCCTCCTCAAATCCTTCATTTACCTACAATGGGATTATCATAAACAACACACAAAAACAAGAGAGTAAGTCATTAGTTCAAAACTAACATTACATGATAATCCACATTTCAAATACGATTAAGCATTGAGATAAATTATAACCACAGATACGTAAATGTAAACATTCATATCTTCTTTCTTTCATTTCCATGTTATTCATATTCATTCTATAGTATATATATCCCATAATATATATTATATAGCATGCATATTACGATCATTCTAAACATCTTCATTCTCATAATTCATATTCACCCTATAGTATATATATCCCATAATATATATTCTATAGCATGCATATTACTTTCACTCTAAACATCCTCATTTTTCATCATACATATTCACCCTATAGTATATATATCCCATAATATATATTCTATAGCATGCATATTACTTTCATTCTAAACATCTTTATTTCTCATCAGTCATATTCATCCTATAGTATATATATCCCTTAATATATATTCTATAGCATGCATATTACTTTCATTCTAAACATCCTCATTTCTCATCATTCATATTCACCCTTAATCGTATTCACCGAATTCTTTCACAAAGATAATCCTCTACCACCTCGGGTAGGTCTAGTTAATTCTCCATACCCCATCGGGCAGGTCTAGTTATTCCACATACCACATCGGGTAGGTCGAGTTAATTATCCATACCACATCGGGAAGGACTAGTTCATTCCCCATACCACATCGGGTAGGTCGAGTTAATTATCCATACCACATCGGGCAGATCTAGTTTATTCCCCATACCATATCGGGCAGGTCGAGTTAATTATCCATACCACATCGGGCAGGTCTAGTTCATTCCCCATACCACATCGGGTAGACCGAGTTAATTATCCATACCACATCGGGCAGGTCTAGTTTATTCCCCATACCACATCGGGCAGGTCGAGTTAATTATCCATACCACATCAGGTAGGTCTAGTTCATTCCCCATACCACATCGGGTAGGTCTAGTTCATTATCCATACCACATCGGGCAGGTCTAGATTATTCCCTATACCACATCGGGTAGGTCTAGTTCGTTCCCTGTACCACATCAGGCAGGTCGAGTTTATTATCCATTCCACATATTCCACTACCACTTCGGGTAGGACAACCATCTTAATCCACTACCACTCAGGGTATGACAACAACAAATAATCACTACTACCTCGGGTAGAGTAACAATAATAATCCACTACCACTTCGGGTAGGGTAACAACAGTATTATCACAAACACATTACCTCTTTCACATACCTCATTCACATCAGCTAGTATGAGTTAGAGACACTTATCCCTTACCTTGGTGAGCGTTGGGAGTCGGTTCCGAGTAACTTTAAAAGTCTCCTCCATGATTTCCACCAACCTTAGGATCTTTCCTCATTCCCACCAATAACAACAATGTCAGTCATTTATTCAAAATAACACATAAACAACTCGTATTTCATCATCAAACATACAAGGGATCCACATATTTTCAAGGTTTCCAAAACTACTTCAATATAAGTTTCCAAACATCTAAACATATATGTTCATCTCATATATCAACATTAAAGCACAAACTCATCATCCACATTTAAAATTTCATCCATTTCCCTTTTTACTCATATTCTCATTTTGGGGTTTTTTTGGGGTTTTCATGAATAACCCACAAAACCTTTCCATTCATCAAATACCAACTCTAAACCAAGAGTTTACAAGAGAAAAACAACATAAAACGAACCATAACTCTAAAGGAAGAGTTTCCATGGTTTCTCATACGTTGAGAATAGATCCATATACTCAAAAACGAGTTTGAAAGGGAGAAAGAGAGTTAGAGTCAAGAGATTTACCTCTTCCCAAGCTTCTAGATGATTTCCACGAGTTCTTGCTCTCAAAATCACCTTCTCCTCTCTTCTCTCTCAATTTCTAACCCTAAAATGTGTTTGGGGTTTCTATTTTAAAGTGAAATCGTCGGGTTCTCGCTCAAGCGAGCCCATTCTCACTTAGGCGAGAAAATCCCGCCTTTTTAACATTTCAGATTTGATGCTCTCGCTCAAGCGAGGCAATTCTCGCTCAGGCGAGGCATCTCTCGCTCAAGCGAGGATCCTCTCGCTCAGGCAAGAATCCTCTCGCTCAGGCAAGAATCTCACAGTCTCGACAGGTCTTGAAA